GGCAGAGTGACATGCTCATTTACGAAGAATCCAAGTCCTTGCAAGGCAAGAGGGGACAGCCATTTAAGACAACTGTCCTGAATTGAGACTGTTTGGAAAGCCCGCCGATCTCGAACATGGCTGTGATGTACATATGCATACACAGCCCACATGGGCTGGCATCAAACAACAGCTAAAATTGCACTGGAATTCACGTCCCGACATCAACTGCTATCGACAGAGAGAACTCTTGGTACAATTTCAGACTGGTCACACTGGCCTCTACTATCCCTAAGACAAATACAATTTCACGCTTCACGCAGAACTTTTTCTTTTTACAACGGGGGCAGGAAAGATCAAGACCTGGCAGCCTGTTTCTGAGCCACCATCTCTCTCAGGTTAGTCTCACTTTCCTTGAGGGTTCGCTCCAAGTAGGCCTTGTTGTTCTGCAAGAAATGAGCAAATTCAGGGTTACAAAAAGAAACGACATAAGCTGTAGGCAGCCTAGGTAGAACTAGTGACTATCCCTCCTGACATAAATGACCATTAGTGATATCTGTCTTTGATTATCAAAATTTTACCGAGGTTTTTTCCTTGGATTCTATCATTTTCGTGTTTAAAATGTTAAAAAAGGTAGGAAAAGAAGCCAGTCATTTGGTCTACCTGGTAATGCATTTATTTCATTTTCTTGGGAAATACTTTGGGATTGGGGCAATACAAATATTAACAATTGTTGGGATACTTCATTTATATCAGCGACTCACTATTGCAAAACCTGGTGCTAACAAGCATTGCCGTCACAGTACGGAAGGACAAAATATCAAACTTCAGGATTTTATTCATTTCAACAAAGTCACTGCCTAATTTAGTGTTTGTTTACATACATGTGTGGTGTTTGTTTAAACAAGATTAAAAACGCAAAGGCTATCATTGCCTCAAATTTCACATGTTCTGCAAATAAAACATATTAATGTCTTATCAAACAAAAACTTTAACATTGGACCTTAAAACCAACTTTCAGCTTTTCTAAACCTTAGTTTCATGTGAGCAGATTTTAAACAATCACTGAAGAAGCTGGGCAAAGTGGGGATCAATCTAAGTGTCAAACTACCTGTAACTTCTTGATCTTATCGTCAGCTGTCTGGACCCTGCCGTCCAACGCTTCCCTGACTTTGGCAATATCCTGCAGAAGAAACCTGTCAAAATAAGGAGCACCAAACAAGACAAAAATAAGGATGGACTTCAATTAAAATTAGCAATGGAATGTTGCAGCAGTTACATCACAGCATTTTTTTAAATAGTGCAGAAGAACCACATGGAATGCTCTGCTGGGAATTAGGGTAGGCTTCACTTGGAAAACAACTTGTTCCCAATGAGAATAAAGCCAGAAGTATTAAACATATAGTATCGTGGCACGTCCATTCACAGGAAAGACGGTTTGGGCACACAGACTCACTAACTTATGATGGTCAAGAATAAATCCCCTCTTCCACAAAGTTGGAGCTTTAAGCTTTTTCTTCCAGGGGGGCGGTGTTAAGTCAAGGAAATTATTAAACCTTTAGCACTGTAAAGCATGAAGTAGGGCATTGGATCTGTGGGATATTAACCCTAACCCTCCTCAATCCTCCAAAATCCTTTGGGTGGTTTTGGAGGATTGAGGGTGAATGGCAAAAGTGTATGGCATATTACAAAGGATGCCGTGAGTGAAGGTCATGGGTTAGACCTTGTGTTGTTTTTGCTTAGTCATGCATAAATTCAGCCCAGTATTTCTTTTAAACCGACCGCACTGCTCAAGAATGCCATTCACACTGTCTCAACATAAGGACAGGAATGGCCAAAGGATTTGGAAGGATTGAGGTAGTAGGCACACCTCTAAGTAACATTTTCAAGAAATTGTGGAGGATTTCACCCCCAAAATTGGAGGATTCTGGAGGACTGAGGAGGATCCCTAGCCAAAAGGGCCTGGGGGTTAGGGTGAAAACATTTCAATGTCACCATTGGGTCGACAACCATCAAGTTCATAATTTTAGAAGCCGTCCCCTGTCATCCTCCATGTCGTATCATGACTTTGACGGCCTCTGTCCACAAGTTGGCTTTCCTCCAGCTGTTAATTCTTCCTGCATTTCCGACTTCCTGCCCACGTAACTTGACAAACAAGGGCTTTTAGATTTCCATTGTCGACAGGTTGAGTTGAAATCGGGACATGGTGGCCTTTTTGGCAAATTGCAACTTCCGATGCACGGCTTCCAATGGAGCCAGCTGCATTTGTGGAGTGTGACGTGAATGCTGGTCAACTCGCCCTTGGTGAACTTGACACTAAACAAACAACTCCACGCAAGCTAACCCTTTCTGCACAGAGCTCACCCCTGCAAACTCTACATCTATCATAACGCAATGTTCAACCCTTTCATCTCACCTCCAAAGCTCCACTTGAATAATTCTATTCAAGGCCTCAATTACCACAGAGCAAGAGTGTGTTTTAGGGCAAAATACCCGGGGAGGAGCGCGGGAGGGGCAAAGAAGGAAAAGGGGGAAGAAATGGAGAAGAAATTCTAGTTAGTGGACGGGCCCTAGATCTTAGAACCATTAAAATGATGATCCAGACTTCTTTGCAGAGTCTTGGTCACAGACTTTCTACTTCGCCTCAGACAGTAAAAGTTAAGAGTTCTTGGAACCTGCCGTGATTGTGCATGGGTACCAGTTGACGTCGGTGACATTTGGACTAGACTGTGACAGACACACTGTGTCATCAAAGTCTTTTGATATTTGGAAGATTAGTGAATCATCTGTTTAAATCCTAGAACTAGTTCCTAACATTGCTTGTTGGTGTAAAAGTTGTCCATGTATGGTGCCATGTTTCCACAAATCCTGGATAAAGTACTGGTAGGTGATTTCTTCTAGTCTCATGGTTTTCTTTTTTTCCTTTTCAATGTTTTTTAAGGCATGGGCTTTTTGCTTATTAATACACAAAATGAAACTGTATACAACTTGACAAGGAAGTTTCAAAGATGGAAGTACTTTGGAAAAAAATGCACTTTAGGATAGCATAGGACTTATGTTATGTTTTCCCTTCGTTTTGCAGAATAAGCTGGACATTGCAACAGTGTCTCATCTAACCACCTGTCTTAACCCTAACACTCCTCAATCCTTCACTTGTTGGAGGACTGTTAGGGTTAAGGACTGGCAAAACCAAATTGGAACAGGCATTCTTTGCTTGTTCAAAATTTACAAGCCCTAATTTGTTGCATATGAAATCTTGAGCACAGGCGATCAAGTCTTCAAACTCCATTCAAAATATTGGGTATAGTGAAAACATGGCTTAAGAACAGATTGAAGGCAATCATTTTAACAAGTTTCCTGGAAGAGGCCTCCCTAGGTTTTAAGCTTGGCTGGGAAGGGGCAGGCAGATATGTGTAGAGTTTCAGTCCTGGATGAAAGCCTGCTTGCAACATGCAACCATTTATCTTACACCACATGGATTCCAAGTCATGCAAATAAAATGCCTCTCCACAGAGGTCACATCTTTTATCAATCGATCACGCATTTTATAACAAAAGAGAAATTTCTAAAGGGCTGTGAAGTTTAAAGAGCAAAGGCTCGGTGTACTCCTTGGATGTTTTCATTTGTCAGTTTCTCACATCTCACAAGACTGTGGAATGACAGAAGTAATAACGCAATTCTCGTAAGAGAAGGCATGGTTCTGATTGGAACTCACAGTATCACATGTTGCTGTGTCTGCATCTGTTATTGGATCAAACTTATCTCTAATATACTTATACAAAGCAGGCCCAGATTGACCAAAATATCCAAAATATGGATGAAACTACAATGTATAAAGACAGATGAGCCACATGGCTACATACAATGGCTCTTATTGTTGGGCTTCAAGTATGGTGTCTGTCTGTCTGTCGGGCGGGTGGGCTGTCTGTCTGTCTGTCTGTATTATAGCATCTGTTCCAACAATAGTCGGGACACTCCCAACTGTAGTGCTGTAGTGGAGCTGGCTCAACTATTATAGTCGGCAAATTTGTACAGAGTATATCTCAACTTCCCTTTTGCAGCTTAAACCCAAACAGAAATCATTCAAAATATGCCCATTGGGCAGTAGAAAGAACACTTTCTTTGCATGAACTACCAACATAAACAAAACGACTGACGTTACACTGCTGGTGCTCTGTGCTAAAGTTTGGCTGGCCCAACTGTCACACTGTAGTTAGGACGGTCTCAACTATAGTTGGGCAAATGTCACAGTTGTGGAATAACAACTCTAATACCAGAGACATTTTTACTGGAAACTACATGTATCTTGATTTTTCTAATAATCTGCCGTTGCAGTCAACAAGGAACGTCATACTTATAAAGTTGCAATTTTCAAGAGACATTCCATTCTAGAGTGCAAAATTAGACCAAAAAAGTGGTCATGCTCGGACAAAATGTCATAACACAATCAAGTTTGTTCTGCCATTACATTATTAAATACAAGGTAGAGTTGTAATGTAACCTTTTGCATTTGCAACATGTACAGCCAATGAAGAATGCTACTGTACAGTACAGACTGGTACCGATAGCTACAGTTCCATCATGCACTCTTTTACATGGGTGCGACGAGGCGGGAACCAGAGCAGGTTCATTTAATGCATAGAGCTTTGCGCATGTGTTTTCACCACTGTGATAGGGAAACATTGATGTTGACAAAGCGCAAAGAATTATGGGGCAATTTCATGTCTGTACAAGTAAAGTATATAGGTACATACACGCATGGCGCTGGGTGACATGGGCCGGTGATGAACGATCAGCCCTGATGAATGCCTTGGGCGTAACTAGCGTAATTCTAACACAAAACTAATAATAAATCGGACGCCTTAATCCCATATATTGTGTTGATATTTTAAGAGCTGTTATTGATATGTTGGTCAGACAATTTGTCTGAGCATCTTTGATTTTGTTCAGACAAACACAATAAGTGCTCCGAAAATGTCCGATGTTCGACTGTAATTTCACGCTCTGCAATCCCATACAAAAAAATTAGGGTAAAGGTGGGGGTATTGGACCACATAAGAAAATCACGAAATTCGACCAGCTGTGTAGTTTTTGAATCCATTTGGTCAAATTCTCCTCCTGGTCGAAAATTCCCACACTTACCCTAGCCACTATGTTTTACCTCCTCAACCAATCCTACACACTTGCTGACTTTCCGTGGATTCACTAAGGTTCAAAGCCAAAATTTTTCATGGAGTTGGGTGGGATCTCTTTCTACTCACATTCGTCCGACACCTTCGTAGACCCTTGTGTTGGCCGGAAGCTGCGAGATTTCCTTGTCTGTCAGGCGGGCGTGGTCCTTCTGCCTCTTGAGCTGATCAATCTGGGCGTCGGCTATCTTCAGTTGCTGGGAGGTGTCAATCATCTTAATCTGTAGCTCCTGGAATGCCTGGCGGTTGGTTGGCATGGTAAATATAATTTGTGAAGGCTTGTGCGTATTGTGTAAATCTGTGTTCTTCATTCGACATGTTTCATCTTTTCTGTTTCATATGCAATCAATGTGATATCATAAGCATGAAAGGCCTAAGCATATTTGGGAAAGAAAGCCATAATACTAACACAAACCCTATTGCTCGGAAAAATCTAACGTTAAGTGTTTTCCTACAAGTTTGCTGGGCCAACGTGTGTGTGACTCCTTTTTTATAGCTCATGCATAGGTCGAGCAGTTTTACTAGGTTATACTATGCCTACGAAAACCTAATTTAATCATTTAAAGACGACTAACATTTGAATCAAATTGTAAACAAAGTCTACAGCATATATTAGACTACGTTACGTTCGATTTCTGTCGTAGATACTGAATGGAAAGGGGACAATATGACATTTGATGGATTTACCTTCTTAAGCTCCAAATCGATACCTCCGGGGGCCGCCATGATGATTAGAAAAATGTCAGTAGAGGGCGCACGTCCTCGTAGCTGGGTTAAATTTTGGAAAGGAGCCGGGGCGGAGCAAACGTAATGTTATTCATCAGTCTGGGTGAGATTGATGTGGGACCAAGTTGACTCAGGAGTTGGCTACAAAAAGAATTGACCACAAACCAAATCCGAGTTTATTTGAACAAAATTGTATCTGTAACTTGACAGAATGTTCTCATAGTTATATCGTCCATGTTTCTCTACATTTTGGGAGTCCCGAGAGCAGTACGTGTGCTTCAGTCATCACAGGCTGATGTTCAGAAACGACTGCATCTGGACATTATGTACCAGCACAGCTAGCAACATTCACTTCAGTTGGGGGAGGGGATTTCAGCGCCATTTTACAGTTTACCTTGACACAAGCTGATTCTGTCATTACTTGTCAAGTGGGGTGGGTCCACGGGGATTTCTACAGCATTCCTTTTTTTCTGAAACAAACGTTCTACTGGTCATTGGCATTTTTGCAAAAGCATGCCCCTTCAAAATAAATTATAAAACTGAAAATACGTAAACAGCAAGAACTCAAAATACTATCACAACTGGTCAATGTTTTATTACAACTCCATCCATTTCTATGTCAGTAGATTTCCAAATCACAACCATTTTCTCTTTTTTTTTACGACGCCAAAGTTGGGATATTAAAGTTTTTGGCTGGCAAAGTATTTCTGTTGGTGGAACCGATGATAAATGAAATTATACACCCTGGATTGTATGCTGCTTAAAATGTGGATTAAGATGTAAAATGCTGTCTACAGGATAATATTTTTTTAAAAATGATTTCTGAAATGCCTCAAAATATCTTTATCAGAAACAAACCACCTTCATTATTGGAACATCCTTCGGAAACCGCCAGCAATAAAACAAAGACCATGTGTTCTACTTTCAAGAAAAGTACATCGAAAAATAAACAGAAGCTTGTGTCTAAATGCTAAAATTGATTTTTGTTCACTTTTTGTTCACTGTATGGAAAATCCATACACAACTACTGCAAATTGGATGGGTTGTAAGTCTGTTTTCAGTACACTAGCCTGATATTTATCAACTATATTATTTCATAATACATTTTAACACATCTTTTAATAAAGGCTCCTTGTTTTAAGCTGTGAAGATGCACCAAAAAGACAAGTAAGTCAAAAGAGAAATCAATCACTGTTTGTCTGAAAACCATTCCTGGTTTTACAATGTTAAATTCCTGGAGATGCCACTTACAGTTAGTAATGGCGGTTACCAGCCAAAATGCTATGTAAATGACACTGACAGGTGACTGGTTCTCCAACTGTAACAGCTTGGCTCACTTATGTGTGAAGTAAGACCTTCCTCTGGGCATGTCCACAAATTTTCAGTTTAATAAATCCAGAGAGGAAAAGAATTGTCCATTATTTCACATCTCTTCCTGTGATTTTGTAAGTGACGCAAAAGGATAACTTTGAAAAACTGGAAGGTGCATCTTCCAGCCAAGAACAAAGATTGTTGCAATCAGAATACAGTCTCTCTTCAATTATGTAAATATATATATGTATACAGCACACAAATCTAATGAACGTGACCTTGAAATCAATGACAATCAAATTCATACACAACAAAGTAGGTAGGTACATGTAACAACAGCTATATGGCAAGTTAATGAAGAGATTTCTACATTAGTTAAGCAGCTATGTACCTTCTTTACTGTCCACTACATTAGATTACATGAATGTATTAGTTGAGAATTTCATTAAAATGTTAACAGTTCAATGTTATGATAAAGAGATTAATCATTTCAGTAAACAGTGGGTTTGTTTTGGACTGAACACTTCAGGGCACTGCGAATAAGAGAAACACCCCCCCCCCAAAAAAACCAACTATGATAGCATAATTAATAATTATTTCAACTTCTATTTGTAACTTGATCATTATTTTGAAATTTGAAATACTGCTGTTAATCATTTTTGGAAAATGACATGCTGTTTCATTACAACTTATCAAAGGCAGTCAAGGAAAAAATTAAACAAAGGTTTTCCCATTTTATAGAATTTTCTAGTGTCACTCTTTCTCTCATCCAACATCTCAAACTTAATTAAAACTTTAAACCAGAACAAAAAGAGGGATTTATATCGAAATGTCTGATGCTCTGCATTTCTAAAAGGAAACACTCCAAAAAATATTTTTGTTCAGGTTCAATATTAAATATAGCAGTCTGCTGGGATAAGAGAACAATGCCATCGCATCACTTCAAGGGTCAAATTATTATTGGTCTAGTTTTGAAGCATTAAAGTTATTTCCACCATCAAGAAACATTTTTTTAAAGGCACACATACTTTTGGGATTTGTTCTTCTCAAGGTGAAATGTGCAGATATTTCAATTCAAAAATTTGAAGTACGAAAAATATAATGTTGAAGGCACCAAAGTAGTACAAGCTTTGTCCAACACTTGATCAAATAAAAGAACAGCATTAAATTCGAAGGAGGAAACACTTCAAGAAATGGAAATTTAGATATCAGTTTTGTGGAGAAAACTGGAGCATTTTCTTCTTTTCCTTTTTTTGGAGATAAAAAATCTGAACTGCAGAGGACAATCTAAGGCAAATGCAGAAGAGACGTTTTCACTGAAAGACCAGAAAAGTAACACTGACATTTTTACATATTGTATTTCTTGTTCATCTTCTGAACGGCCAAATTAAAGATCAAATTGACCTTTTGAGATAATAATGCTTATGCAAGATGGACAAGTCTGGTCTAAAACTTCTCACTGAATACAACGCAGAATGCAAGGAGAGAAAGAAAACTAGATAGCCTTAGAGATACTGATAGGTAAAATAAATTAGAAAATATGAACAGGAGGCGTTAATTTTGAAACAGGAAAAGCGAGACTCCAGAAAGTATTTACAAGATAAATAAAATATAAATAAAATTCTGTCTTCTGTCTAGAATTCGCCACTATCTGACTCATTTTCTACAATATATACAAAGTACATGTATGTTTCTTGTTAAGGACAAGTGGAAATTGAAGAACTTTTAAAGCAAATCTTGAATACAACAAAAAGCATTTCAACATTTACGTTTTAAGGCACAAATTAAAAGAACTAAACTGGAAGAGAAATGAAGATTTCAGATGAAAAGTGAATTTACAGATGTAATTAGAAATAACAAGACCCTGTATAACTATGTCAATTTTACCAAGTACTTTGGATGAGGGGATGAATTTTGAGTGCACACAAAAGGTAAACAAACGAAAACTAGCAAATGTGAAAATACTTTTATGGTTCACATGCAAAGTCTTTTTTAAGTTAAATTGGTGGTGCAAGCTTTGGTTAAGGCTCAAATTCAAGTACTCCAGAATGTCATAAAATCTCACATAAAAGTGCTAGGACAGTTTTTATTTCAAGGCTACCAACTCAAGGCACTTGAGTAAATCACAGATGTTTTAAAATTCACAACACTGAAAGGCACTTTTTGCTTGTTTTTTTTTTCCTACAACATAAACTGCCGCTATAAAGATAGTTGTGAATACCAACTACCATCAGAGCATGGTATATCAATCAAATTGGACTTTTTTTCTTGGGATTCACTAAATAACATGGTACTTATTCACAGACCCGGTTGTTTGTTTTTGAAGAAATTTTACACCTTTTCCTGAGAAAGTTATCCTAAAATTCACTTCAGAGTTCAAGCTTTCTTTGTTGCACAGTTTGTTACAACACTAAGTTTTGTTACAACACTCGCAAATCACAAATCTTGTTCTGGCGTAACTACAACAGCAAGCCTATGTATTCACAATATTTACCAATGAACATGTATATAATTTGTAAGTAATTTGTGTCGTGTTACTTTGATCTGGTTGGTAATAAACGTGTGAATATTAAATGACTGTGAAAAATTTGTAAATGTTTCGATCAATTTTACAGTGAATTGCCATGTCTTGAAGATGTTCATGTAGTGTGCTGTTTGGTCTGGTACCACGTGTCACTGTAGCTCACTCCAACAGATTGCAATGCTAGACAGGTACCAGCAGTGTTGTAACCATGAAGTATAGTACAATATCCTCTCATTATAAGTCTAAGTTTGGCGATGTTTTGAAGTGCTTTCCTGCCTTGTTTCAGCTCATCTGCTGAGGTTATCATTGCTTTAGACATTGCTCGTTGATATGTTGTGGGAATCCTACAGAAAAGAATGAATAAGCATTCTTGTTACCATCATTGGGGGAAAACACTTGCTCACTATTAGGGATCCAAACAAACATAGGGAATTCTTTGAAATGCTGGTTGGTATTCACGCTGTTGGAGGAACGAGACGGGGTGCAAGACCTGGACAGACAGGGGCAAATGTTGAGGCATTGAATCTGTAATCAGATTGGCATAAACAAACTCAAATTACTGTGAACAAAATGCAATGTCTGATTAAACAAAGGTAAAAAATTAGGAGTCATCCAAGCTCTGATTGACTTACTAAGCATCGTCTCCAACAGAAGATGTCTATTTGCAGGCAAGTACCACAAAAGGGAAAAAAGTTGACACTTTGAATCAAGAGAGTGTATACTGAGAGGCAGACTTGTTAGTGAGCATCCCACAAACAGTTATCAATCCACACTAGTGTGAATCAAATCTTACTCCACACCAAACTCTACAGCATCACTCGGCAAGTAATGATCACTGCCGAGTATTGCTTGCTGGATGTACAAAATAAAATTTGGTATATCTGGCAATTTCGTACATTTAATACATGTGTATATGCTAAACACAACTGATCAATCGAATTGATCATTTCATCAGACCCGTGATACAAATGGGGCTAGAATAAAAGTAAGCGTTATCCTGCTACTTCAAAATCTGGAAGAAATGTGCAACAACACACTCAGTCAAGGCAAACAACCGTGAAAACTTTCCAAAACCTGTAACAAAACAAACACCAATTCATTAGTACACACTCAGGGACTACATTTGCAACATTCAAACCATACGGTGCTTCCTACGCAATTCTCTCAAACTGAAAAATTCAGAGGGTCATTCAGAAGAACGCGTTTGACGACTTCTAAAATGAAACAAGTTGACATTTTCCAACTTTTTCTTCTTGGTCATTTTTAGTCAAGGTTGCTTTTTGTGAAGTATGCAATCAACCTAATGCATTCACTACAGCCAGCACTACAAAAAGATTAGAATCATGTCGGAACTTGAGCGCATTCAAGAATGGCCCTCTGAGTCAAGAGCTTGTTGGACCACATCGTGGGTCCCTCAACTCACGCTGGAGAGAACAGAGTCAGATCGAGGGCTGAAGTTTCTAGTGGAGGGACGGGAGGTACCGGAGGTAGCATCGGAGACGGAGGATGCCGCTCGAGACGAGGCAACAGAGGTGGCCCGAGAAGCCGCCCCTGATGTGGCCCTAGAGGCCGCCCCCGACGTGGTCCTGGACTCGGCTCGGGACTCGGCAATGGACGTGGCCCTAGAGGCTGCACCGGACGCCGCCCGCGAGGCAGCCTCTGATCTGGCTACGCTGGCAGCGCGGACCTTCTCAAACACTTCATCGTCGTCATCATAAGGAGCCTTAGATTTGAAATTTGTAATCAAGAAGTAGGACGGATATGGTATTGAGGAACTTTTTTCCTGCTCTCAATTCAAGCTACATATACGGTAATTCGGCATTTGACCAGAATTAGAAGCCAAAACTGCAGTGGTGCAACGCTCGTGGACAGGTGGTATGCGCACTGTCCATGCCTCTTTGACCAATAGGATGTCGTGATTTGCCAAATGCACGCTCGCGTCAAGCTGAAAAATGTGCGTGTGAGTGCGGCGCCACCGCAGTTACAGCGTCTACACCTCAATTGTAGTTGTACACCGCAGTTATGGCGTCTACACCTAGTCTATGCACCTCAGTTAAGATATGATTAACATAATTGGAAAAATTGGAAGTTTGTACAAGGCCAGAGTTGTACAATGCTGGTGTACATTTGTCAAACATGTCTTACCTGTCTTGGTGATTTGTGAGTTAAAATATGAAAAACCTTAATGGTAGAACATTTTAATCATACACAATCAACCAAAACATCTCTGATGATCTGAACAAACAACCTGATCTCAAAACTATAGAAAACAAAACATTTTAGACAAGTAGGAGACATAAGGGAAGTATACTTTACGCATTACATTAAGTGCTCGTAAGTCAGTTCAAGTATTATAGGCAACTTTTCCTGGGAAATTCCTGACTTCAAGGTTACATGTGATTCCTGACTTCAAGGTTAAATGTGATTCCTGACTTCAAGGTTAAATGTGATTCCTGACTTCAAGGTTAAATGTGATTCTCAGATCAGTCTCCATCAGAACTTTTCATTTACACTGAAGATGTCACTCAAGAAACAACTGTTCTGGGGTGCTGATTGATTGGATTGGGAATTGGAATATCAAGAAATATTCCAATTACCAGAACAGCAGAAGGGAAACTTTTGGTAACGTCACGACACTGCAAACCCAACTTACATTGACGTCCACATCCACCGACACCTGAGACACATTGGTCTGGGGGCGAGGGGACATGGAGGATTGTCGGGAGGTGGTGGATGGGGCCCGACTCACTGGGGAGGTCACCTTTCCAGCCAGCGTGTCGGAGGAAGGTTGGGAAAGAATAACATGAGTTTTTGGGAGGGTGTCCAAATCAATGTACAGTTTGAAAACGAGTGCAGTTTTTGACACTCACTGCAAAGGTGCATTCTGGGAAACAAAATGGCTGGTTTAAAAATGACAACAGCTATTATATTCCAATACATGACATTTACAAACAGTTACTTATACACTTAATTACAATTACAACTCACTCGTTTCACTCTCTGACTTAAAACTAAAGAATTGACAATGCACTGTATCAGTTTTCAAAATGTCTAAAAATGCAACCAAAAAGAACATCCGTGTAAAAGGCATTTTGTGTCTCACATAACACAATCAGTGTGTAAATAAGTGTGTTTGAAAATTGTGCAAAGGAGTTCACTGCAAACAGATGTTGTTGACTTAAAGTTGGACACTCTGGAAAGAAAACGTGAAGGTTGTAGTCAACATTAGCAGTTAAGTCTAGTCCCAGGTATGTTCTGAGTTAGACGAGTACCTCAGACTGGCGACTTTTGGCATCCCTGGACAAACTGGTTGAACTTCTGCTGGCATTCTGGACAAAAGCGAGGAAACCATGCCAGAAACATTGAATCGCAAGAAAGCTATGGAGTCAGGCTTCTAGTTGTCAGTCATCACTGTCGCTAAATAGGAAATATTTCCAAACTCTGGCAATAATCTCGAGCAATTGGTCAGAAAAAAAACCTGTTTTCAGCCCTGTATAAAAAAAGCAAGTGACTGCAAAAAACTTTCAGCTAGAATTCAGCTGGAACTCTGGCTACTGTTTAAAAGTTACAAGCAAGAAACTTAACGATGGTGTACTGGTACTGCTGAATGGTGTAGAGATGCTGCTTAGCCTCTGAAGAGTTCTGAAGTACCTACAATAAAGGATGGTTTATACTTCAGGTGAATGTGAACGCCCAGTGAAATTGACGTCACAAAACATCTGTGGTGTGTTTCACTTGACGTGAAATGTTCCAAGTTCTGCACATTTACAGTGCAAATATTTTGATCTCATGTCACAAAAATCTCGTTCTTGGTTGCTTTCAAGGACTGTGGGGACCGGCCGCTAAAATGAAGAGCACTGGACAGGATTTCTTGGGCACCTACCCCAAGGCTGAGTCTCTGGGATCCGGAGCTACCAGGGCGAGAGCGCTGGGCACTGCCCCCACGGCTAGCCGCCCGCCCGGTGGTCTGAGAGAATGAAGCGTCCGAGTCCCAGCGTTCCAGCTCCTCGCGGACCAGGCGTTCCATCTGCTCTCGTTTCACGTTACCCCCGCCGCTCTCGTCCTGGGATGCGACACGAAAAAAGTCGGACCATGAATTATCACATACATCAACTTTATTCACTGATCACTCTGAAATGGGAAGGAGCCTGGCTATTTCACTACAATGACAGTTCTAGCCTCACTTTGTAAAATATTAGTCATTTGGGCAATAAAACTAACATTACTTTTCATATATATCTCAGAACTACCCATCGGAACACATGGGTGCCTCACTCTTGATTTAAAATTGGTGATAAGGCCAGTTAAAAGTTTGTAAAAAAAAAATCTTTACAGTGACTTATAATTTATTGACTTTGTTCATCATGTTCAGTTGGACTTGTAAATGACGTGTGCTTTTTTCTCCATTTTTTTTGCAAGTATTGTCTGTTGTTATCAATAGCCAAGTCTGTTATCTTATTTCATACATAAGCAGGGCATTTCTGCTAAAGCTTGTTTCGGAACGCACTGTGTATCCACAACTCACAGTCAGAAAGGCTGGTGCAGAATTTTTGTATCAAATCGAACACTGCAAACATAGCATGATGACTGTGGCAACCGAGCTCCGTGTTTACCAAAGCCACAGAGTTGAGCAAATCAAAGTCAGACATGGGTTATAAACAAGTGCAGGTTGATCAGAGAATTGGGACTAAAAATATTAAGCAGGAAATTTACTTTCAAAAGTGAAGACATTAGAAAAAGTGCACACACTGGATACAAGCTCACTGCACAACAAAAAGGAAAAAAAGGCAAACCAAACCGTGAATGATACATTATTCTGTTGCATAACGCTTAGAAATTTCAAGAGAATTGATCAAGAGATGATAAACGGAAACAAAATATTTCTCATGCTTGACATGGTGCAGAAGAATGCCAACACGGAGGCATTTGATTACTCAGTAACGTGGTGCCGTTAGGAACGGTGCACTGATTAACATATGATATACCTCGTCGTAGTCGCTATAGGCAGAAGCCGAGGAACCTGACCGGGAAGGCAAGCCCATAGTGGTCTTATAGGCTTGCTTAATTTCTTTCTCCTTTGGAGGTTAGGCATGCGTGATACACAAGCAACATTGGTCAAGACAATGAGCAAAAGGAACGACCAACAAAAATGGAGGGAAATGCAAAACACACATAAACAACCTCCATCTCACATTCACTGTGTCTCTAAGCATAGAACACTGCTAAACAAATCTATCTGGTAAGCGAAAATCTGCAGAGAACCAGTCCTAGCAATGCACTTCACATGACATTTTAACTGGTAAGTGGTTTCTGCTTTGTAAAGGTTTTTGTTACTTTGCCCCACTCGGTTCTCCATAAAATGTATAATTATAAGACAATAATCAATGACAAGTTGCCTTATGAATATTTACATTATATTCTCGTGTTTTGTCTGGAGGAGTCTAACGCTCAAATCAAATCATCAATGACATTTAAACTGAAAATGAACTGAAAGTTCTTCAAGACAACTTTGGTGACATCTCAATGGATTCTACAGGCTTACGATACTGTCTTGAGTTGGGGATTTGGGGTGGGGATTCAATCGCCAGCCTGTACCTCTGTGATGCTGTCCAGCAGTTTGCCCATGGTCTCACGGCGTTTCAGCTTGGCCCGCTCCATGGCTTCCAGCTTGACCAGCACGGCGTCGATCTTGGAGACGATGCTGCCGATGGAGTGCTCCATACGGTCCACACGCCGGCTCAGCCTGAAATTTGCAAGGATGATCAAACCACCCTGTGAGGCTCATGAATAAAACTTGGCCAAGGGTCTCTGGTTTGCGTCCCTCTATAGGTCAAAGTTGTCTTACTCTTGCTTGACTTACACGACAAACTCCTCGTAGGAGACACCGCTGACCCCTCCGCGACCCCCTCCGCTGTGGGAATCCTCGTCATCGCTGTCTAGTCCGTCGTTGAAGCTGACCCGGCTCTTGCTCCGACCAGCCGTCTGGGGTCGGTTAGAGCTTACCATCTGGGCTTCCTCCAGCTCGGCCAACTGGTTGTTCAGGTCAGTCTAACGCAAAGGTGCAAGAAAGCATGAAGACATTACCCTCTAGGTGAGAGCAGGTCTCACATTCCGAGGTCCTTCAAACCCAGGTTTGGAAGTATTGCGAAGGACAGAGGATGGTAGAGCCCAAGAACTGCTAGCTTACTTGGGGTTTGTTACTCACTGAAAGTTACAGAACAAAATATCTGCTGTTGATTCCACCACTCCTCTGCTATATGTACAACCTCCGAAGCATTTCAATGGTGTACGCTTATCACCACTGGTCTCTTAGCGAACAGGGTTACATTCCACCACCGTGAAGTAGGGAGAATTCAAGATGGTTCCTAGCAAGAAAGCTTCTAGAGCTATTCTTGTGGTCTCACACCAGACGTTTTCGGACCATTTGTCCAAATGAAAGTGTGTAAGCTCATTCAGATTGTGCCGAGGATATATTGACATAAAGTCAGGACATTTTGGGCACCCCTCTTTGAGACTCTGGGTAAAAATTGATATTAGCTCTGCTATGGGAATATCAAAAGTACACTATCGTTTGAATTTGCTTGGCCTTTGAAGACTTCTAAATATTTCTTCGGTCAGAGACGAAGGCAAAGCCAAAGACGAATCCAAGATTTGTCAAATGGCTCCTATGTACCTTCTGTCCTTCCAGATCGGCGGCCATCTTCATCTGCTCCTCGGCGTCCAGGATGCGGTCACCGTCCACATCGTACTTGGCAAACACTGCCTCAATTTCAGCATCGGCATGCCCACGACTGGAACGGGAAAATAAAGGAATCAAATACAAATCAATCAAGTTGCAATTGAGAGAGAGGACTAGATTTGAGCACCGGTTCTTGGAAGTTCATTTTATCACAAAAGTTGACTTTCCTTAGGGCGGACGAATAGAGGAAATGTTAGTTACAAACGCTGATGAGAGACTGACCCAAGCCATAAAAACCAGGTACCAATAAAGCTCTAGTAATCAGTTCTAGAAGGTGAGGAATATAGAACAGCTTTACTTTTCAGGGATTTGGTGAGATGGAATTTTCCAGAGCCTTGGTCTTACCATTTCAACTCGTGGCGCCATTCGTCAAAGTCCAGATGCTGGTCAGCGTTGGCGTCGGCGTGTGCCAACGCTTCCTGGATGTCGGCAATCTTGTCCCGCTTGAAGTTCAGCTTGCCCACCATCTTCTCGTAGCCCTTTTTGAAGTAGTCGGTGATCTCAAACTCCGACTTCTGGTTGGCGATGTCCGCTTTGACCTCGCTGTACGTATCATTGATGATAGCCAAGAACATGTTCTGCAAGACACAAAGAATTTGTTTTTAAGAAACTGTAATACATTATTATTTGGGAGGCTACAGATGTCAAAGCATTGTCAGCATGACGGATGACCCCAAAAGGCCACAAGGCGTGTGGCCAAACACGCCAAGAGGCCAAGACAGGAAGGTAGCCTCCAGGGCCACTTTTACCACAACAGTTTCGTCTTTTACAACAGTCAGACGGCTGCTATGATGAAGCCGCAAACCCAGCCAAGCAACAGCAACTGCAAGGAGGCTGTCACGGCTTGGTGGCCGCTTTCAATTAGTTGCCACAGTAGTCTGGACTGACACTGCTCAAATAGGCCACGACGACGACCCTGCGCTTTGCTGGCAATAATGGCCATTAATCAAGAAGGTACTCACCAGCAGAACAAAGAAGACCACAAACACATAAGTCATGAAGAAGATGGGGCCCAGGACACGGTTGGCTTCCTCCAGCTCATGGAAGTTAAAGTCACCCAGAACGATGCGGAACAAGGTGAAACTGGCAGAGATACAACAAAGTCCAAATTAAACTTGAGTCCTTGAGTATTTCTTTGGGATAACTACAGCATCTATGTATCAGGAGTATATTCAAGTGTGTCAAAACTGGTATTTACATGCCATCAGCTCTACTTAAGCACTTGGCTGTTGGAAATATACTGCATAGCGCCCTCTACAGTGTACGCAAGAAGGCAATAAGAGCCTGATGCCTTGTCTTTCACTTACATGCAGTCGTAGATGCTGCTGAAGTCCTTGATCTGGGTACCAAACACCAGGTAGCCAAACTGGGCGTAGGCCAAAAAGATGATGAAGAACATGATGGTGAAGCCGCCCACATCCTTGGCGCACTTGGACAGGGTGGAGGACAGCTGGTTCATGGTCTTGTTGAAACTGATGTACTTAAACACCTGTTGGTACCATGCCACAACACAAAAAGGATTCTCCACTATCAAGCAGCTAGCTACATGGGCCAAAAAATGTTTATTATCTAACCTTTTTTTTTTCATTTTTGGGGTATGTTGGACTTATTTTGTATGTTTTGGCACAATTATGTAAAAATGTTTACTCACCTTTGAAAACAAACTGAACCTGGAGTATACTGACTAATATTCAGGATGTTCTACAAACTGAACCAACCGGCCTTGACTTTGCTTGGGGAAGAATTTTCTACTCCTGTCCAGCTCCATCCCTCGGCATTCAGCTTAACTCTGCTGTAATCACATGACCGAGGCTATTACCGACTGGACGAGGTTTGACCTTTGACCCCTTACCTTGATCCAAGCCAGGAAGACAGCCACGGCGATCACATTGTTGAAGATGGACTGGCAGTAGCCCAGGAACTCGAAGTCAGCGTACTGGTCAGGCCGGCTCAGAAGGTCTTCAATCATCTCGTCCACTCTCATGGCTCGGTAAACATAGAAGGCCATGCACAGGACCGACACCTGACGAAAGGTTTAGCAGAGCATCGTCGGTCAGGTGCATGTCCAAGTAACACTGTTGTTTCACTGATTATCCCTAGCAGTCCTGAGTCCTCTAAAAGGTGACAACTATTCAACTCAAGCATCCGTGAAACCAAATTTTATAGTCTAGGCCACATCGTAAGAGGCTATTTTGTGCTACCACTATCCACTGTTATTCGAATGAATGAAAATACTTGGTGAAAAGTTATTATAGGAATGAACGACGCTTGCATTCCTGGTTGGACTTAAGAGCGCCCTCTTTGCATCATGCACAAAGCCAATACAATACACTTGACAGTGGTCGGCTGACCTTGACAGTGGTCATGTAGGTCTGTAAAATGTACTGGCGGTCAACTTGCCTTCTCATTGGGGTAAAGAGCGCCCTCTTCCCTTCATGCATAAGGTCCACACAATCAATACTTACTACAATGATGATGACATCTAAGCAGTTCCAGGTGCTCTTGAAGTAGGAGAGGCGGTGAACCTTGATCTCCAGGATCTCCTCCACGATGTAGTAGAGGATGAAGAGGGCAAAGATGCCCTCGCAGGCCATGATGAAGTAGTCGAAGGCCGTCACGTAGCGCAGGAGCTTGACGGTGCGGAACGTCCAGGAGGGGATGGCTCCGCCAGTGGGCGGGAACTCCACCACCAGCCTACAATGGACAATGACCGACTTGAGGTTAGG